TTGCAGGTAAAGGCAATATTCAGTGGGTACAGAAAAGAATCACCTTTAAAATAATCACATTTTGTTGCTTTGCAGCCTGAAATGAAGACGGACACAGTTTTTGTTTTATCCAGCTGTATTTACTCAGTACAACTTATAACATCCAAGTGAAAGATATAACACAAACATATAATAAAAAACAGAATCACTAAAAAAGGATCACCCCCTCCTAAAACGACTTGTAAACTCAATCTGGTGTAGCTAATCACCTTCTCAAAGGCACACAAAGCCATTTGACTTTCAACTGTGATCAGCTCTGCTCATTTTGATTAGCGCAGCATGAAAAGAGCTTTCCTGGAGCATTTCAGTCCTTGGTAGTGCGACTGAAGCAAACAGTCAACTATGGGTGCAAGGCATTGTCAAAAGACCTCCGGGATAAAGTGGACAGGCACAAGTCACGAGATGGATACAAAAAAATTCAAAGGCTTTATCAATGCAGCAACTCTGAAGCAGAATAAGAATAAATATTGAAATAATATAAATAGCAGAATAATGTTTTAAATATACCATTTTGAATACAGAAATATGATTTCTATAACTGAAATTATACGCTAAAAATGAAACTAAATTTGCCAGCAGGTGGCGGCAAGTCACTGATTTTATCACTGAATCATTCATTCAATTGATTTGTTCGAACAGCTGAATCATTCAGGAAAGAAGCAAGTGACTGTCTTTATGACTGTAACTGATGGAAATCCGTCTTATAGCGACGGAACTTTAATCCCTGGAGTGGGCAAATATTGCAAGGTCTAGATGTGCAAAGTTAGAGACATATTCCAAAAGCAAAATGGTTCAACCAATACTGACAAGGGGCTGATCCTTTTTTCCAACTCAGTGATTTTTTTTTCTCTGGCATGTTGGTGTTATATCTTTCACTTGGATGTTATAAGTTTCACTGAGTAAATACAGCCGGATAAAACAACTGTGTCCGTCTTCATTTCAGGCTGCAAAGCAACAAAATGTGATTATTTGAAAGGGGGTGATTTTTTTCTATACCCACTGCATATCCATATACCATAACAAGATCAAAATAGGGGGGGTTTTAATTGATTATTAATTTTCTATTGGAGCTTTAGTTATTTATTTATGCAGGTAAGCGGTAACAAAAATAGCCAGGGTCTAGGCCAACCTGGATGTATGGCTGACAGTAAAACACTTCCAAAATGGAGAATATGCTCACAGACACACACACACACACACACACACTGAAATGATTAAACTAGTTTATTAATACTCAATAAGCATACTTAAACACACAGACACAGACAAATTCACACACATTTTGTTGCAGATATAGATATTTGACATAAATGATAGGTGACAACTTATTGCAAGTCTTCTCTTTTTAAGAGTTTACATGTCATTTTCAGGTTTCACTGTAATCATAATTTGGCATAATTGTAAAAAGTGATATGTCTGTATGAACAGAATGGTAAACTTTGACTCAATGTGATTTTAAATGTTATAACAGTGATTTTATAATGTCTAGCATGAATCCATAACCTAACCTATGAACAGTACTGTTTCAGTGCATTTAATGAGGCCATTAGTGGTCTTCCGCTGCCATCTAGTGGTTATAGATGCAATTTTTCATACAACACTTGTGTTTTTAACTTTTATAACTGTTAAAGTGTTATTTTTTTTGCCCAATCTCTCTTAAATTTGTCATGCTTGTTTAGAATAAAATTATGTATCATTTTACACAGTTTTGAGAGATGTTGTGGGCTTTCTTTTAGGATTTTAGGCCTTTGGGTACACAATCTAAAGAACATATGATAAAATGACCGGTTTATAGTTGTACAAATGCAAATGTTCAACATTTTTTTGATAATTATTGACCTAGAGAGTCTAGAGAATAGTACTGCACTGATTTGATTGATTTTGAGTTAAAAACTGAGGACAAATTCAGAAAAGTATGTTTTTAAAATAATCTCAAATATTTAATGAACAGTTTGATTGACAGCCTTGGTCCCAGAAGTAAAGTTTTTCAAAATGAGGAGATCTATCATATGATATGAAGATCTAGTGTTCGTGTACATATATGAGAATTTTTTAGCAATTTGAGGCCATATACCATTGAAATCTTGTGTTTTTGAAGCCTTTTTAACTGTTATTGCGCCACCTATGGTCCGATCTCCATTAAACTTTGCATGCTTGTTAAGAGTCCTCTGAAACATGTTTTCGCCACGTTTCGCAAAGTTTTGAGTTTTCGTTTGGGTTTTATAGGCTTTTGAGTATTTTGGCCACGCCCCTTTTATAAATGTACCTGTTATAGTTAACCAAAGGACAAAATTAAATTTTTTTTGATAATTATTGATCTAGAGAGTCCAGAGTATTGAACTGCAGTGGTTTGATCGAGATTGAGCGAAAGACCTCGGACTAGTTTGCAAAAGTAGGTTTTTAACATATTTGTGAATATTTAATGAACGATTTGAATGACAGCATTAGTCCCAGAGGCAAAGTTGTTCAGAATGCGGATATCTATCATACGATATGAAGATCTAGTGTTTGTGTGAATATATGAACATGTTCTACAATTTGAGGTAATTTACTACTGAAATACTGTGTTTTTGAGGCCTTTTTAACTGTTATAGCGCCACCTATGGCTATAGCTGAATTTATGTTTTTTCTGTCTTATAGCGCCCCCAAGTGGCAAAGCCACAATTTTTTTTATTTGACCAAAGATTGAGCTCATACATATGTGTACCGAGTTTGGTGAAGATATCTCATTCCGTTCAAGAGTTATAGCTAAAATAACATTTGGCTAACGTTAGCATAGACGCTTTTTGGGGAACGGTTTCGTGCACCAATCGAAATTTCAACTTTTTTTTGATAATTATTGATATTCAATGTCCACCGAATATTTTTGCAGTGGTTTGGTTCCGATCAGGCGAAAAACCTAGGACTAGTTCGCAAAAGTAAGTTTGGGATATAGGTCTATTTTACGGAAAAACCGTGCGTCCTAGAGAAAATCTGAGTGGCTCCACTTTTATTCGGGCTGACCCAAGGATCGCAACGATACGTCTACGACAAAAGGTGCACGCGTTAGGGCCAAAAATGTCTGAAAATTTAGGTTTTTGCGCTGTAGCGCCACCTATTGGCCGATTGGGCTGAGACTTTGATAGGTTCTCCCCAAATTGAGCTCTATCATTTGGCCAAGTTTCAAGTCTCTAGGCCTTACGGTTTGGTCTGCACGATCAGTTTTAGGGGAGAAGAATAATAAAAAAAAAATTTAAAAAATCCTAACAATTACAATAGGGTTTCAGCACTTTGTGCTTGAACCCCTAATAATCATGTGTAAAACCACAGTTCACCTAAAGATGTTTACAGTTTAGTTTAAATGGTCTTCAAAATTATTTAACAAAATCTGGGGAAAACTTTGATCCATAATCAAAGTTTTTTTTTTTCCTGTACTGAAAATGATGGATTTTGCAAAAATAAATAAATAAATAATAAAATATGTAATGCTTCCCATTTAAAACTGACCCAAATGCAATAGTAGGGTTAAAGGACCAGTTTACCCAAAAATGGTGGTGGTTGAGGAAAGATCCCATGACATGATTGTAAAGCGCTTTGGTTGTACAGCAATGCACAATAAAGCGCTAAATAAAATGCCTCATTCATTCAAAAATGAAAATTTGCTGAAAATGCTGAAGATGTATTTATACAAAGTTTTGATCATCTTTTGGACTCTGATGGACGGCACCCATTCACTGCAAGTGAGGCAATGCTAAATTTCTCCAAATCTGTTCCAATGTAGAAGCAACTCATTTATATCTTGGATGGCCTGGGTGAACTGTTCCTTTAAATTAATTATTATTTAAACAGCTTAAAGGGGAGATAACACACACAGTTTCACCCAATCTCATGTTAATCTGACCAATGAAGAGGTAATAATAACTGTCAAGCTTTGGGGTGTTGATCGACTTCATCTACGTTTTGATTATCATTCTGAATCCAATTCATAGTCTTTTTTTCAGCTTTTTGTTCAAAATGTTGTACATTTCTTTCTTTTTTATTTATGAAACTTATCCACATTCAAGTGTTTAAAAAAAAATACATGAAGCTAGAATAAAATGTTTTTGTTTACAAGCAGATACCCTGTTCTTTTGATGTTTTTTATGTTCAGATATTCATCTAACAAAATATATACGAATTAATACCTAAATAGGGACACAATAGTATACTTAAAGTATGATGTTAAATTCACTTAAAGAAAACTTACGAGTATACTTGCAGTATAAAACTACTAAACTAGTAGTTTACTGAGAATACACTTCAAAGTGTACTAAAAATGCTACTACAAGTATTTAATTAGTAAACTATCAGTATACCTATAAGTTCACTTTTAGTATAGTTGCAGTACAAACTAAACATTTTGATGTAAACTAGTTATGTACTCAAAGTTTACTACTGTTATACTTAAAGTATACTTAAATGTATACTTCTATATACTAGAAAGTGGGCCAATTTAGTCCCAAGGAGTATTGAAATAGTACTGAACAAAGTTATCTTTCCCTTACAACCAAAAACACACTTCTTTGGAGACCCGAGTCCCGTGTAACGCTGCCGCCGGATGAAGTGCGTTGATGGGCGCGAGCTCGCTCTCTCTCTGGTCGATGCATGCGGGAGAAATGCCCATATAAGGAGTTCCACCCTCGTCTACGTCATGAAGAGTTTTGAAATTGTGTCCATGCTTAGCATGAGAATCCGACTCTTTAACAGTGTAAACAACTCTTAATGCATGAAACAGCATTGTACCCCCCCCTTAACATCTTAAATAAAACAGTTTTTAAAAGACAAATTAATTTATGTGCTTTTATAAGATAATAAGCTTCACGTTTCTACTTTTATATCCTCCAAAAATTGGCCCCATTCACTTCCATTGTGAGTGCCTCAATGTAACCTCAATTTTGATAGTTTAAAAAAGGCAGGGTATGAGAGTCTTTTTTTTTTTTTTTTACTGTAGTCCGGTGCTGTCAGTTGAGGTAACTTGTTTTGAACCTGAAATATTTCTGTCTTTCAAAAATTACACACGTGGTCAACAACTTGACAAGGACACCCCATGTAACATTGTTTTCTGTTAGCCTGTTCTTCCAGCGATTCTCCCCGAGACCTTCAAAGGTGCGCTCATACAGCAAAAAATGTTAAAAACTTCTCACCCAGTTTCGTGTCCTCCGATGTTTGAAGATCGTCTCCAGATTCCAAGATATTCGTCTTATGTTGCAGACAATCTACAAAGCACGTGGGGTATGCAATTATCCATAAAGCTAGTACTGTGTAAGAAACAATGATTAATTAAAGCTAACAATGCTAACTACTTTCAACAGACTGTGAAAATGATATTTCCAGTGTTGTTAATGGGCTTTTTAGTTGTTGCTGTGTTTGGAGTAATTCCTTTCTAAAAATACACCAACTCCAACATTGAAGCTCTGCAAGGATGATTTCAAGTGAGGGCATTTTCATTGTGAAAACCTGAAGTTTATTTTATTAGGTGTGGGTTTGATGTTCTAAATGGATGTGCTTGTCTTCTTTTTTAGAGATTTACCCAGTGCATTCATCACACTCTTCAGTATTTTTACCTTGGAGCACTGGTTTGATTTACTTTAAGACATTCAGAGAGTTCCAGAGCTAAACTGGATTATTCATTATGGTGTGGTTTGCATTTGGAGCCTTGATGACCTGTATTTTTATGACCCTTATAAGTATGTATTCTTACAGTATATAAAGAGATATTGATTGTTCTAAACACAGTGATTTTCTTTATTCAGTGATGCACAAAATTACACCCAGAACAAGGTGAAAATAATTGTTTTAGTGCCTTTCTGAGTATATATATATATATATATATATAAAATATTCGCCACATGGTAGCTCCTTTATACTTCAGGATGGCAAGACTTTCAACGCTTAAAGATACATATCAGCATCTGCTTTATTATACATGGATTGGGTTGCTTCTGGAGGCAGGCATTTTAAACCGCAAATAAAGCATTTCTACTATGCTTCATCCATACCACTAAGTGTCAGTACAAACCAACTCCCAGTGCAACATGATAAAACATGACTGAGCACCTTTAAATGAATTATTTCAGTGGTAGTTTTGCTTTTCGCCTATTTTCAATTATAACAACAGTAAAATGTACAATAAAACACTCTCCAAGACCCTTCAGCGGTTTATATCATCAACATCTTAAACAAAAACATCTGTTTAATTCTCTGACACCTGAGGCAAATCTTGACAATGGCTATTATAGTATTATTGCAACACAATCAAGTAAGTTACAATGTGACAAATCAATAGCGCCACATGAACACAATCATGATGTACGATACATTTACTCCTGTTTTATACTGGAATGTGGTATGTCTGGCGAAACACAGAAGCATGCTTATGGATCAGTATTAGTGGAATATTGAAGGAGGAAGGAACACACGAGAGGGAGGAGCCAGGAGAAGGGCGGAGCTAAGCGAGACTGCCAGTCTATTTAAACTGGCTGATGGGGGCGGGGATTTTGATGTCTTGGCCTCTCTCCAGTTTCTTCTCACATTCAATGAGATAGTTCAGTCCATCTATCACAGTCTGAACCAGCTGGACCTGAGCACATATTGATAAAGACAAGAAATCATGGTGAGGTAATTACATTTTTTTCAGTTTTTAAAGAGACGGTTCATCTAAACATGAACATTCTGTCATCATTTACTCGCAACAATATATCAGGGCCTAAAATTAACACTCGCCAAGTACCAAATACGAGTAAAAATCATCTTTGGCGAGTATTTGAAACAGTGTTATTCAGCAGTTGGCCTGTAACTTTTTTTTTATAATTGTAACAATGCCTGAAAATACAATAGGGTTTAGCGTGATTATGAAATCATAAAGACTGCATTGTAATTATATAAATATGTAATCTGATGTGTTGTGTGTTTCAGAGTGAAGCGCTGTTATCTTTTCATGGTTCACAGTAAAAGATACTTCTCACAAACTTCTATATAAATTAAATTATGAAATTCTTTACAGTCTATTTATTCTTTATTTAATTTTCATAATTTTATTAAATAATAAAAATTAATAATAATAATAATAATAAAAATTGCACTCCGTTTCTTAAATTTTTCGGCCTCTTTTTGATTAAATAATGCATTTTCTTCTACATATTTTGTAAGTAGTGAGTAAACAACTCACACTTAGATATAACCACTTTGTTACGTCAAAATAAGACTTAAAATGGCATGAAGACATGCTCTGTGGAAGCATGGGTGTAGAATTCGCGGGGGATGCAGGGGACATGAATAAAAAGCAAAAACGTTTTGAATGAGGAAACGTGAAGACAATAAACACACGATTGCGACAAAATATGGTTTATATGTGTTTTTCCTAAGTCATCTCCAGGTAATAAATAAATAAATTATATGAATAATGCAGTGCTAATTGACATATAATTTAGTATAGAAACTATAAAATATATTTCCTGCCTTATTCTGTGATAAAAATGGGGAAAAGGTGTTTGTAGTAGCCTTTATAAACCAATCATAAAATTAGCATTAGGAAAATATAGCACAAAAATATTATAGAACACAAATTATTGGTCATTATCCAGCGGTGTATTTGATTTCTTAGCCAATTAAAAATAAGAGATAAAAAGAATAAAACCTGTCAATTTGAACAAATTAATTAATTAGTTAATTAGTTTATGTGTGTTTTTCAAGTCATCTCCAGGTAATAAATAAATAAATTATATGAATAATGCAGTGCTAATTGACATATAATTTAGTATAGAAACTATAAAATATATTTCCTGCCTTATTCTGTGATAGAAATGGGAAAAAGGTGTTTGTAGTAGCCTTTATAAACCAATCATAAAATTGGCATTAGGAAAATATAGCACAAAAATATTATAGAATACAAATTATTGGTTATTATCCAGCGGTGTATTTGATTTCTTAGCCAATTAAAAATAAGAGATAAAAAGAATAAAACCTGTCAATTTGAAAAAATAAAAAAATAAATAAAAATATTAATTAATAAAAAAATCTGAAATACAGCTTCATGGCTGGTAAAAATATATCAGGGCCATGCAGAGACCTTTGGAGGGGCAGATGCTTAAAGTATAAAAGGGGCACATGGCTTTAAATAGGGCTGTGCTCAAAATATCAATACAGCAATATATTGTAATGCATTACGATACGGAGGCTTCTGTATTGATACAGCAGCAAATGCTGTGACGCAGCTGTGGTTTTGCTGTTGTAAACACTTCTGTTGCTGTTGTAGAAAAAAATATTTTTGTCACAAAATGGAATTCTATTCTAGTCCTGTTCTAAATGTATTCATTGTTTGAATGATAATGATAATAAAAACAGGATTGATAAGTATAATTCAAAGGATGAGAAAATCAGTATAAGCCTGTTTTGCCAGTGTTGTAATAATAATTTTAAGGCACTCTATGTTTTTTAAATAAATACTGTAATAATAATAGTTCAAAGTATAAACAGTTTTTAGTCAGATAACATAAAAAAAGACAAGACCCCTCGATGCAAGAACAGCAAGCAAGAACGAAAGAGAACAGGCACCACTGTGTGTAGAACAAGTTAGCTGCATTTTAAATATTTAATAAATATTTACTTTTAATAAAATATAAATTCGTCCCCCGCACTTTATTCGGGCAGGTGTGTTCACGTAGAGGTTATCACGGGCCAGTGTAAATAAATCTAGATTTAAATTCAAAGAGACAAGATAGTCTATGCATGACCTGACGTTTTATTCGTATCCAAAATGCAAGGTTCATTCATACTCGAAGCCGGCGGACACTCTCATACAGAAAGTCCAAAACGCACTTATGGAAGTAATATTTTATGACGTGCAGGAAATCCCTAATATGGACAAAGGTATCCGGCTATCGCTGTAGGCAAACCAATATCTGCTGTAGCTGAGCTGAATAAAAAGCAGAAACGTTTTGACTGATGAAACGTGAAGACCATAAACACACAATTAAGAAAATATATGGTTTATGTGTGTTTTTCAAGTCATCTCCAGGTAATAAATAAATAAATTATATGAATAATGCAGTGCTAATTGACATATAATTTAGTATAGAAACTATAAAATATATTTCCTGCCTTATTCTGTGATAAAAATGGGGAAAAGGTGTTTGTAGTAGCCTTTATAAACCAATCATAAAATTAGCATTAGGAAAATATAGCACAAAAATATTATAGAACACAAATTATTGGTCATTATCCAGCGGTGTATTTGATTTCTTAGCCAATTAAAAATAAGAGATAAAAAGAATAAAACCTGTCAATTTGAACAAATTAATTAATTAGTTAATTAATTAATTAATAAAAAAATCTGAAATGATGGCTACGCCCCATGCTGCAGCTAACGTGACTTCCACAGGCTACACACAGCAATATAAACAACAGCTCTGCATGCTCTCTTCACGTCGTTCTTGTAAAATAATAATAATTTAATAATAAAAGTATCCAAGCACACCGCTCTGCTGAGAACTCCACAAAACCAGCAGCCGCGGACATTATTGAAGCTATCCTGGTAGTGCACCAAATTACTAAAGTTGTCTGAACATCAGGGATCATCCCAGATCAGATCGTTAGGTGAAAGGTCATCATGTGGATCATTTTATTTATGGCTAAATTATTATTTATTAATTTTCATAATTTTATTAAATAATAAAAATTAATAATAATAATAATAATAAAAATTGCACTCCGTTTCTTAAATTTTTCGGCCTCTTTTTGATTAAATAATGCATGTACAGCTTCATGGCTGGTAAAAATATATCAGGGCCATGCAGAGACCTTTGGAGGGGCAGATGCTTAAAGTATAAAAGGGGCACATGGCTTTAAATAGGGCTGTGCTCAAAATATCAATACAGCAATATATTGTAATGCATTACGATACGGAGGCTTCTGTATTGATACAGCAGCAAATGCTGTGACGCAGCTGTGGTTTTGCTGTTGTAAACACTTCTGTTGCTGTTGTAGAAAAAAATATTTTTGTCACAAAATGGAATTCTATTCTAGTCCTGTTCTAAATGTATTCATTGTTTGAATGATAATGATAATAAAAACAGGATTGATAAGTATAATTCAAAGGATGAGAAAATCAGTATAAGCCTGTTTTGCCAGTGTTGTAATAATAATTTTAAGGCACTCTATGTTTTTTAAATAAATACTGTAATAATAATAGTTCAAAGTATAAACAGTTTTTAGTCAGATAACATAAAAAAAGACAAGACCCCTCGATGCAAGAACAGCAAGCAAGAACGAAAGAGAACAGGCACCACTGTGTGTAGAACAAGTTAGCTGCATTTTAAATATTTAATAAATATTTACTTTTAATAAAATATAAATTCGTCCCCCGCACTTTATTCGGGCAGGTGTGTTCACGTAGAGGTTATCACGGGCCAGTGTAAATAAATCTAGATTTAAATTCAAAGAGACAAGATAGTCTATGCATGACCTGACGTTTTATTCGTATCCAAAATGCAAGGTTCATTCATACTCGAAGCCGGCGGACACTCTCATACAGAAAGTCCAAAACGCACTTATGGAAGTAATATTTTATGACGTGCAGGAAATCCCTAATATGGACAAAGGTATCCGGCTATCGCTGTAGGCAAACCAATATCTGCTGTAGCTGAGCTGAATAAAAAGCAGAAACGTTTTGACTGATGAAACG